TGCAAGTAACAGATTATGGGCTTGTAACACTAACTCATGGGTTGTGAGGAGTAAATAAAATACCCTAAAAGCACAATCCTGAGTGCACAACATGCAGGAAGTTTTCAAATTATCAGGACAGTTACAGGTTTTCAGGCATCTTTATTTAACAAGTGGGGCCTCTGTGTATATATACAATTAAGCAATTCATGAATATGTCAAGAATTTAGATGTTTCTCAATAATTTGATATTTTAACAGTATAGGGAGATGGTGCAACATTCATGCTCTAGATTTTCCTATTGGCTAATGACATTTTCTGAAAGAAATAGCTCTTGCAGTGGTCTTTAGATCTATTCATATAGTAAGGATACATACTTATTCACAGGTTTAAAACTTTGGAATAGGGGAATACATAAAATATATGTCTTTACCCTCACAGAAACAGATAAAAGAATCATGTGATGCTTCAGAAGAAAATAAAGGTTTTTTTCTACATATAATTTTTGTACTGCTTTTGAATATATGCAGCTAAATGGAAAATATGCTGGACTGACAAATAATGTCACCTAATACATATACTATTCAAACAATATGATAACAGGGATTTGGGGAAGCCCATCCTAACTCCTGCTATAGCTGCCCAAATTAAGTTGTAGTTACCCTCTAGGTGACCATCACAAAGTCTAGTATTAGCTTTAGCAGGACTAAAGTAGCCATTGTAGACAGCACTGTAGTTTTATCTTGAGGTCCAACAGCAAGAATAGCAAAGTGTGATATAATGTGGCTAAGTGGGTTATATCTTGAAATTTGTGCTTTTAACTACTTAAAAAATTAACAATTGCAGGAGACATATAATGGAACAAAATATAATGCATGAATCCAGGTTCATTAAACTATGCATTTTTTGAAAAACAAAATATGACAGAACATTTCATTATTGACGCAGATATGAGAAAAAGTGTTATGCTGCTATTTAGAATGTGCCTCGTGTGTCATGGAATTGAAGTATTTCCAAATCATCAATAATTAAAATGATGAGAATCCATCATTTCACTGACATTTACTTCTACATGAAAAGATGGCCTATTTTAAATGTGCTCACACATATTCTTGTCAATCACAATCTGTCACAGCAAATTATTTCATTTTGTAGATCACATGACTGTTAGGAGAAAATCTCTAGGTTTAAATTTAGATCTTAGGTGTAGTATCAAGAACTCTTTTCATGGATTTTTTTTCTGTGACTGCATCTTCACAATACAGTATATAAAAGATGTAAAATCTTATTCATAATACTCAGTTTCACTTTTGGCTAACAAAACCCAGGACTGAAATGAATCACTGTAAATGATAACTCTGAAAGCAAATAGTAGAACAGAATACATAGGAAAGAATGGAAATATCAAACTAAAGCAATTTTAAAACAATCAGAACTCCATACAAAGGGACTTGGACCCAATTAATTAGGTCCAAACAGCTTTTTTTCTCTCATCTTATTTAAAACATTTAAACCTTATGCTAGGTTTGCATTGCCTTCAGCTCCTAGCAGTTATAAAGAAGCTGAACTCTTTAAAACTCAATGAATCTGATGCAAGAATTTTCACTGTGCCACCATTAAGCAGAAGATTCAGGAATCTGTGGATAAAACCTAAACTGCATGCCCATGCATCTGAAATGTTTAAAATGTCTTTTCAAACAATTCATTAACTATAACTTCACAATTCTAGTAGAATCATTAATGAATTTCACAATCTTCAAATGCCAGAATTGTAAGACCTAATAAGACAGTGAATAATCTCAACACTCTATAAAAAATATTTTCATTTTTCCCATACACAATTAATCTTTCTGCTTAGACATTCAACTTCAAAATGTAAGAATAATCCTAATATTGTATTTCAACAAGGAATGCTTTATGTCAGTCTTGACCTTGGCCTGACCTCTGTATGAAAACTTTGTATTTTGAAGTATGTGGTGAATAGCTCTCTGACTTTATTAATCCAGTGCCACTGGTTGTCAACAGTGAGGCTTAAAAGGGGTACTAAAGTAGTTAAAAAGTCAGAGATATTCTGTTGGTCTCTTTCTACCTTAGTGAATCAGGAAATAGTTCAAGGCAATTTTCATTATCTACACTGCTTTTCCAAAGAATAAGAAAACAATGAAATATGGAAATAAAATTGCCAAAATACACCTAAACCTACTTGGCCTTACTATGCCAGAAATAGTTTCCTTTGGAGGACCCAACTGATTTAGATTGTTGAACAGTGTTCTCAGTTCTAAGGATTAATAACTTATTTAACTCAACTGAAGCTCCATAAAGACCAGGACTTCTATCCTTATGTGGACAGAAGTGACCATAAATTGAGAGAAGTGACTATACAGAGAACAGACACTTTATAAATATTTATTGCCTTAAACTTAGATTGTATTGAATTAAATTGAATTTTAAATCAGAAACAAAAGAATAATAATAAAAAAGAAATCAGACTGATTCCTGTTCTTCATCTGCCTTGGATGTGACCTAGTACCTGGTATGTAATAGGCTCTCAGTGAAAGTTTCCTGAATGAATGAAAATCAATATGTTAAAATAATGACCAGTTGTTGTCTCTAATGCCTATTGGTTAGTTGTGTATAAAATACTCATGCTCATTTAGAAAGCTATAACAATAATGACCAATTCTGCTAGCTGTTTCCCCCTATTTACCTTTAGAATATTTGATTTTCCAACTTCTGAGAATGCCTCCTTACCCTAAATTTATCTATCACCTTGAAAGTTATTCATATATGTTTATTTTTATGGTACATTCATGACAATAAGTTGACAAATTATTATCTATAAAACACATGCAAGAAAGGTCATTTTAATCTGATTTGAAAAAATGTATGTGAATATGTGGGTGATATACCTATAAATGAATTATTTAATTCAAGTTAAAGATAACTATATATGTATGTGTGTATATATATATATGTAATGCTTATGTATATTATATTTATTTACATTTGTATTCTTAATGTTCTAAAAGAAACTAAATGTCACTCTTTAGGCTTATAAGTTTATCTATGAGCTTAACTTAGATGAGTAGCTTTTTCCTTATTATACTTATTCTAATTATTTTTAATGGACATGTGATATGCTAGTCTGTGTCCAAGCTCACCTACAATTTCTTTTCTCAAAAGACAAGGCACATCTGCCACCTGCTCTACTCCGTGTCCCAGCAACAACTGTCGAGCAGCATAAAGATTGATTATCAGTCAAAAACCATTGCACAACACCAGATTTTGGTGGGTTAAGCTTGCTGATCCAGCAAGAGATGGTGTGAAATTTTCAGGAGTGTGTGCCAACATTTTGGTGCTAAAAGAACAGCAGTGTATGTCACATGAAACACAGCCAAATATATGCAGACAAAGCAGAGAAGTTTTTTGTTCTGGACTTGGCTTTAAAAAGAATAAAAAAGAAAACAAAAAGTAGGAGCAAATTAGTTTGTACATTTAAAAATCATCCACCAAGCTTACTCATGTGTATGACATTGTTATTTGAGGCATACATATCCAGTAGATTTTCTCAGAGGCTCAGCTATAAATAATTTTCATATATCTCTTCTACAGTACCATTACATATGATATGAAAGGCAAGTATTTCTTATTAATAAAAATAGTCAGGGAATTTAAGAAAGCACTCATTGCATAAGTATCTGATTATAAAAAAGTCACAGAAACACTTACCCACGAGACTCATGTTTTTATACAAACAGATGATTCAATGAATGCAAAATAAAGACAGCCATATTTTAAAGTTAAAGCAAAACGTGAAAAATACATGGTTCTATACTATTGTATAGGTAATTTTTACTGAGTATTGTAGCAACAAGTTTCTTTATAAGGACCAAATTACCTTGAACTTTCTATTGCCTTCAAGAAATTCTTTTTCCTGATGATCAAGTATTTTCAAAGGGACAGAAATCCCAGTATCACTTTATATAATAACATTAATAGAGGAGAAATTTTGATCACCTCAGCTGTAATGAATTTCAGAATTGCTTTTCTTCTATTTATGCAATTATTGCCTAGACTTGCCTTTGGTTTAGCAGCTTTACAGCAGTTGCAGAAAAGAAGACTTCCAATAAAGTACAAAAAGCATAGGGGAGTACAGAAGTTAGATACACTGAATTTGTACAGCAAAGTTCTTAAACCATTTAAATATGATTACCGTACATAGCACTTGATAACAGACTGGGTATGACATGCTTGAAAGAATATTCTTAGATAATGATACTTTCATTTAGCTCTTAAAATGTATTCTTTCCCACTGGAGAAAGAAAAATGTTTGTTTTTTTTTAATTTTAGAAAATATCCACATTTCTGAAATATTAGAAACAATGGACTTTAAAAAAATATCTTGCCTGCAAATATGTCTAAAACAAAAATATTATATTTTGTTTGTATATGTAATTATATTATGTATATATATATAATACATATATTTCAAGGTTTAAAATAAGTTAGCTATGGCACTAATCTTATGAAAAATTTTATTAGAAAAATCACCCATATATAAGAATTATATGTTAATTAATGGCTACATTTTCAGAATTACATTAATGCTATCTGAAAAAAGACCAAGGGTGTAAATGAATAAATGATACTTGAAACTTTGAGCTATTTTCTGAGAGAATAAGTCTAATGAATTATGTCTGTTGGGTGTCACAGAACCTAAACAGTAAATTCAATAATCTCTGATTTAATTTATTGTATTTTCACCATTTAACCTCCTGCAGGCTCCCTAATGTCTATTCAGATCTATATTAAATTAAGCACCAATGCTAATGAAGGGCAATAAACGTGGCTGTCAGTGGATTTTTCTTTCATTAAGCACATTATCCTCTTACTGAGCTGTAAATGCGTAAACATTAGTTTTGTTAAACCATGCAAAAAAGACAGGATGAAAATCATTTTTTAATTGCGTCCCTTAAGCAATTTACTGTGTGTGGGGGTAGGGGTTTTTTTTTCTTTTTTACCTTTAATTTTTTTGAATGGATCTGAAAAGGGCTCTCCTGTTGAAACATAAACGTCGGCTTCATGGGGTATGTCTTCAGGTTCGAGGACTTCAGTGCCATCTGCCAAGAACACTCGTCGGGCGGCCATGTTCAGATTCAGCTTTCCCGTGCACTCCTCCAGCAACTAGAAGCAAGAGGTATGTCATTTATGACAAAGAATGTAACACACTTCCACAAAACAAAAGGTGCATCAATTACCAAGTAACTCAAGTAACTCCATTAATATAGGTATTTTCTAGCAGTCTAAAATATACCAATAAAAGGTAAATCAAAGAACTGAGAATAGCTAATAATTGTCTAATTTTCATCCTTAAATGCTGCCAGTTCAATAACTCTACAACATTTAAGCCATTGCATCTGCTTAATTAAATATAATGTTTATATATTAATGAAAAAGGAAGGAAATTAAATGAGTTTGAGATTACTATATATATAAGCAATTTACAGATTCAGATTACTAAAAAATTTTAACACAAATAAATGTCATCCTCATTTTTTATATTATAAAGAGGATAAGGTAGGAAATAAAGCAAAGAAAACTTTTGAACACTATTTACCAAGGTGATGGTTGGTACGGTAACTTTGGCAAAGACTGTTCTAGATCCATTTTTGTAAGCTGTTACTTTAATCACTCTAGGTGAATTCTGGGCTGACTGAAATTTTAAAGAAGAGAGCTCTGCAACTCTAAAGAGAAAAAAATAGAAAATTTGGTGCATGTTGATTATTAAAAACAATTAAACAAATCTTATCCTGGATATTCTTTACAGATAGAACCCCTAATGATTATTCTGAAGTATTCCTCAATAAAACTTTTTATAGGATAAGATTGTCCACATTTACTTAAATATTTTTAAAATTTTAACACAATAAGTTTGCCAAAACTGTTTATGTAAAACACATATCTCAGAATAAATCATTTTTATCATTTTACTTCTAAAACACCAAAACATTCTTTTAAAAAAATTATTTATGTATATGCTATGTACTGATAGAAAGCAAAAAAATGTTAGTATGGTTTTAAGATCACGAAATAGTAAATGGCTAAGATTCACCCTTAGGTTTTCATGTTTATTAAAGTTCTTTTATTTTTTAAAAAGGTTTGAAATTCTCATAGACTATAATTAAGTCTTTTATTCTAATTGTAATTGCTTTCATTTCATTATTTGAGGGCAGCCAAGAGAAGATTTCCAAGTTTTGTCTTCAGTCAAAAACAGTTTCAATTTTTATTTTTTCAGCAAAAGTACATGATAAATGATTAACATGGCAAATCTTTGACTTCAGAGTTCCTTAACTAACCCTATTATTTTTTAATGCCACAAAAGCAAAGTAAACATTTTAAAATAAAAACTTGCAGTAAATTAAAATTACAATATGTGATTTTACTATTCAACTATTCAATCACTATTCAACATATGAAAAACATGAGAGTACCGACTTCTTGGTTTAATTTTTGTTTTTATCAACACTTTTTTCTATCCATAAACTCTTGGTTTAACTGTTTACAGTAAGAATCTTGATGTGAAAACAGACATACAAAATGGTTTTATAAGTTCACTTTAATTTGGTTTTAATTCAAAATATTGATTAATTATCAAAAGTACGCATTTCCATTTTTAAACAAATATCTAGTAAACAAAGATAATTTCATGGTCCTAGCCTGATTCAGCTTAAAATATTATTTTCAGTTTCATATTATCTAAATTGAAGTGTATCTCACGTTTTCCACAAGTGTAATTAGCAACATACTACTCAAATGTTTTCAAAGAAAAAAAAAACCCTAGAGATGTGGTACATTTTAATGTTTGAAATAGTCAATTGAGTCATTATAAATTCTGCTCAAAGGAAAAAGCTTCAACAGTCAGTTAAAAAGAACAGAGAACAGCTTTGATTACCTCAGTTGACCCACTGGAGCACTGACAGGTCTGTTTCTCTTGGATGCTGATATGAAACAAGAATTGTTTTTACTGTTTGATTTGTAGCTATCTGGGTCTGATATTTCATCATGGCTATGATCTGATACTGTTTGATGTGTGGAGCAGTCTTCAAGTCCTGACCCTTCTGATACTGCTGCTGAATGCAAAAGTCTTTTGGGGCCAAACTGAGGCTGCAAATAATCTTCAGGAATTTTAATAACTGCTTTTGCCTGGGATGACATAAACTCCCTGAAAGAAACAATGAATGGAAGAATACAGTGAACTGATTTGTAATCACTTAACAACTACCATACAATAACTAGTGTATTATATGCAAGGCAAAATATTATACACTTAGTCATTATTTTGTTTAAGCCTTACAATATCCAGAAGAATTAAGTATTATTTTAATTTTATCTCCATTTTACAGATTTAAGAAATTGTGGCTCAGAGAGGCTAGTTAACTTGACCAACCTCACATGATCAGTAAATTGACAGAGAAATTGAACCCAAGCCTGTTCTAAAGTAAAACCCACATTCCTAACCATTAAACTTAATTGCTTTACTTAATTAAATAAGAGAGCTTGTGTAGTGCTTGAAACAATGTTAAGTGAAATTTTTAAGTTCTTAGGCTATTTATTAAACACTAGCACTCTGCTAAATAGTAGGAAATATAAAAGTTAAAGAGATGTGGCTCCTATCTTCAAGACTATCACCTAATGAAGAGAGGATATATGTAAGTAAACTGCTTAAATTTATGGATGTGTATTAACTTTAAATGCCAAAAGAATTCCTCAAAGGCAAGCTCACATGGGCTGGAATTAAGTTGGGTAAAGGCTTCACAGCAAGCCTGGGATCAGGGTAACTAACTCATCCTGGTTTGTTTAAGACTGCCGGCTTTGGCACTGAAACTTGCACATCCTGGAAACTCCCTCGGTCTCAGACAAATTGAGACATTTGGTTACCCTACCTGGTATTTAAGCTGGAGGGGTAGTATTTAGATGAACTATGATGTTTGAACAGACGTGGGATGATATGTAAATCTATGTAAATACCAAATCAGGAAGATGGGATATCTATAGAGTTTGTTCATATGATAAAATAAAACAAGTTTCAACATACATAACAATATTGAGCTATGTAATGATTAGGCATAGAGGACAGTCAGCGTCCATCTATTATTCCACTATTTCATGTATTTGTATCTTTATACAAACCAAATCTGCCTCTTTCCAATTTGCTAGTTCCTCAATACGTGTTATACATAATATAACACCCCCCACAGACACAATTAAAAAATAACATATGCTTACGTGTTATTTTATAACATAAGTGTATAGAAACCTTAGAACAGACAGTCCTCCTCCAAATGTTTTTCATCTTTAAATGTCATTATAATCACAAGTATTTCTTCTGGCCTGTCTTCTTTATGTTCACAAACGTGTAAAATAGTTTATTATTTCCTCTGAATGAAAGGTAGTCACATGCCACAGGGAAAACGGGCATGTGGGTGGGTGAGAGTTGACACAGTGGGTCAGCAGAGCTAAAACACTGGTACCCAAGTTATTGTATGTTTTGTTGTTCTTATCACATGTTTCTATCCAAGTCAGCCCAGGATGGAACAGAGCAGCAATGAGAAGAAGAGAGACCTTCCCTACACTCTGAGTATCTACACAGGTTCAAAACTGTGGCAAACAGCAACTTAATGGGTCATTGGACTTTACTTCTAGCAGAGGAGGACCTCACTTCAGACCACCTAAACTACCCAGATTTTAACAGTAGTGGTGGAGAGGGGCATATAGCAGCAGTCACCCTCGCCGTAGCAGTGTTTCTCCAGTGACAGCAACAGAGCTGCAAATGGTCACCAAGCTCTTCAAACTGGGACAAGAGCAGTAAACAATTAGGAGGAAAGATCTGCAGATCTCATGAACAGTTTCCAGTGCCCATAAACAGTGACTGAGAAAGCATATTCTCATGTAAAGAAAGAAAAGGAATTCTCTACTTAAATGCAGAATGGAGTATCTTTCTTTTTTAATGAATGCATTTTGTTTATTTTTTACAAATACACTAATGATTTTTTATTAATCCATTATCCCATTACTACAAAGCAAAAGGTTTTTTTATCATATTCCAAAGTTTCAAACATAGTCTATGTCTCTACTAGAATCTTTCATTATATCTATAAATAATTCACATATACACAGATTTCAAGTAGTTCCTTCTTCAGTAAGATGTCTGTGCTACCCTCCTGTATCCTCCTGTACATCCTTCCTGTACATTCACACCTGCCCTGATAGACTTAATAACTGGAATCATTATATCTCATTGATTTTCCTACCATTTAAATGCTAGCTTCAATTTATACTAAATATTTAAATTCACCATTGTATTATTCATTCTCTTATCACTCATAAATCATTTTTATCACTGTTACTGGTACATTATTTTCCAGTCTGAAACCTAAAATCCAATATATAAAGTTGATGGAAGACACCAATCACACTACTTCAGAAATACAACTTCTTAAAAAGTATCTATTTATCTATCATCTATTTATCTATCTATATTAGTTTTTTATTGCTCTATAATAAATTACAACAAACTTAGTGGCTTAAAACAATTTATTATCACACAGGTTCCATGAGTCAGGAGTCTGCCCAAAGCTTAGCAGGATCCTCTGTTCAGGATTTAATAAGGCTGAAATCAAGGTTATCAGCTGGGGCTACAGTCTCATCTGATGCCCAGGATCTTCTTCCAAGCTCAAGATTTTGCCAGAATTTAGTTCCTTACAGCTGTAGAACTCACAGTGACTATCATCTCTGAGGCCAGTAGGAACTCATGTCTCTGAGTTTTCTGTCTCTAACCTCTAAACTCTCATTTAAGAGTTGATCTGGTTAGGTCAGGCCCACCCAGGACCTCCCATTTGATTAACTCGAAGACAACTGATTATGTACCTTAACTACATCGACAAAAATATCTTTTGCCATATAATGTAACCTAATGATTGGAGTGACATCCCATTTTATTCACAATCCAGCCCATAATTAAGAGGGACAAATTATACCAGGCATCCATACCAGGGGGTAGGAATATTGAGGGTCATATTAAATTTCTACCTACCATACAAGTTATATAATTACAGTTTTGATTACTCATTTTTTTTACCAAATGTAGATCCAGACATTTCATTTTCTGGAAAATTCAAATGCACTTCCTAAGATTAAGTTTGTCATCAGTCAATACTGAGGATATTTAAAAGAAAGTGCCACAGATTCTGGTGGCAAATCTAAAGATGAACTTTTAAAAATGCTTTGAAAAATGGCATTATTATTAGAATTAATTAACTTCATAAAGCAGATATTTTAAGTGGGGAGAAGAAGGCAAGAGGTATTCATTTGTATGTAAATATCCTGGTATGCCTGCTTTAAAAAAAATCAACTTAAATACCTAATGTAAAACATGAAACCATAAAACTTTTAGAAGAAAACATAGCAAAAATCTCTTGAAAATAAGCATGAGCAACTTTTTCTGGACACATCTCCTTGGACAAGGGAAACAAAATAAAAAATGAACAAGTAGGACTACATCAAACTAAAAATCCTCTGTACAGCAAAAGACACCATCAGCAGAACAAAAAGGCAACCTATGGTATGGGAGAATATATTCATAAATGATTTATCTGGTAAGGGATTAACATCCAAAATCTATATAGAACTCTTATGCCTCAACACCAAAAAACAAATACCTTAATTAAAAAATGAACAGACCTTTCTCCAAAGAAGAAATACAAATGGTCAACAGGCACATGAAAAGATGTTCCACATCACAAATCATCAGGGAAATGCTAATCAAAAACCACGATATCACCTCACACCAGTTAGAATGGCCACCATCCAAAAGACAAGAAATAACAAGTGTCAGTGAGGATGTCGAGAAAAAGGAACCCTCCTACCCTGTTGGTGGGATGTAAATTGGTACACCTACTGTGGAAAGCAGTATGGAGGTTCCTCAAAAAACTAAAAATAGAAGTGCTATGTGACCCAGCAATTCCACTTCTAGGAATTTTCCCCAAAGAAAACAAAATGCCTGATTCAGAAAGATATATGAACCCCTATGTTTACTGACCCATTATTTACAGTAGCCAAGATATGGAAACAACCTAAGTGTCCATAGATAAATAGATAAAGAAGATGTGGTATATATATACCATGTGGTATATATATACAATGGAATATTATTTGGCCATAAAAGGAAAAGAAATCCTGCCATTTGCAACATGGATGGATCTAGAGGGTATTATGCTAAGTGACACAAGCCCGGTGGAGAAATACAAATTCCATATGATTTCACTTATTTGTGGAAACCAAACAAGACAAAATGAACAAAACAGCAGTAGACACATGGATACTGAGAAATGACTGGTAGTTACCATGGGAGAGAAGTTGGAGTGGTGGCAAGGGTAAGGGGGACATAGGGGTACAAGAATTCTCAAAGATATAGTTGGTCACAGGGATAATAGTGCATCATGTAGAATATAATCAATGATTCTGTAACGTCTTCCTATGTTGATAGTAATTGCATTAGTGGACGTGAAAGTTTAATAATACAAGTAACTCGGTGGTATACTTGAAACCAATAGAAGAGTGTGCATCAATGATACTTCAATTTTTAAAAAAAGAGCTTTTTCCTCTGCCAAAAGAAGAAAAACCCAGCTATGTTATTTCAGAGTTAGTTTATTTTCAGTTACTGGAAAAAGTAGACTTATTTTAACAATTTGAAATTAAGTCATAAAAAAAGAATGTAGACAAATGTGGTATGTGTGTGTCTATGTATATAAACTATGTCAATATTTAAGGATTTTATGTATGCTTAGATGAAGGTGGAGTAAAACATGTTAGAATTTCACCTTAAAGCAGTATGGAATAAAAACTATCAATTAATTAAAAACTAGAAAACTTTAGGTAAATGAATCTTAAAAATACTTTCTACATATGATATAATGGATATGATAAGTCAGAGAATTACAAAGCCGTTAAGTACATTAACAGATTAACTAAGCTTTTATTCTTTTCTCAAACTGTACTATTTAACCACTTTCTATTAATCAAAATGATTAACAGGGACAGATCTTATACATTGTGGAATTTTAACCCCCTTGACATCCCAGGCTAGTATTTAATTATGCTTTACTCTCTGTGATTTTCATTAAATCTAATTTACAATTTTTGCTTCACAAAGCAACAACTAAGTAAATATGTGAGATCTAAAAATATAAGAAAACATGCTCAAGGAGGAGTACAGAAAAAGTAGATAGATGATGATAAGACTTAAGAGTATAACTATAGTTTTGACAAAAGCAATTTTTCTTCTCACTCTGCTTTTAGCTCTAGTGAATCTTAGTGCCTTTTTATAGCAATTTGTGAAAAACTAATAAAGTCACACTTTATTACTGAGGGCCCCCCTGTAGTATCCCTCAGCTGTAATTGTACCATACTGCCTTGCATAGTTCTTGCCTGTATCCTTTTTGCTTCAGCTATTATCTACCCATTACTATATATCTTTCAATAAATAAATATTTAATAAATGTTAATCTGAACTCTGTGATTATGTTTTCTAGAACTCTTTCCATAACAATTGTCTAGTGAAAGAAATGTTATACAAATAGTCATGCATAGAAATTTATAATTACTGACTATGATTAGTACTCTGAAGGAAAAGTACTGATTACTATGAAGGATAAATTCAGGGATTTGGGGTATAGAAAAAGCCTCAATAAAGCTGTTCAAGTTGGCAAAACACATGAGAAGAGTTATCCCCACCAGATCCTAGTCATTCTTTATTCCAAATCATTCTCCCAGGTCCTGTGTAGGTAGTGATAGATTGTTTTGCATATTGATATGTTTGCTTTGTGATTTGTTATATGACTTCATATCCCACTCTGCAAGGGTAAGAACCTTGTTTTATATATTTTACATTTCCACAGGAGCTGAACCAGTGATTGATATGCAGGAGCTATTCTTTGACAATTATGACATACAAAAATGTGTCACAAAAATGCCATTGGGAAGAAACAAACACCATTTAAAAAGTAAAATACAATAAAGACAAAGCCAATATTTATGTCAGATAATGTTTATTTATCTAATAGTCATTCCCTGCCTTTATCCTTAGATGAAAACCCTCAGTTATATTCAAGGACTCACCCCTTCTATATGCCCTGGTCAGCTCCAGTGGATGAATCCTCAATGATCTAACACCAGTGATGGTAATTCCACCTCCCTTGCCCTTACAGGCTAAGCAATCAGCTTGTGATCTAATTTTGACCAGTGAGAAATGAGGAAATGTCTTCTGGGGTAAGTTATTTTTTAGTAATCAAAAAGAGATATAAGTGATCAAGCACCCATCTTCTTCAGTCAGACATTATTGAGCAAACATGTGATGGGCCATCTTGTGACTAGGAGGGGTCAAACCCAAGAATCAAGCCAATATTCTGAGGATGGCAGAAAGATACAAAGAGCCATGCTCTTTGATAACACTGTTGAGCCACTGCATTTAACCCTAGATTTACCCTGCCTCTGAAATTCTTAAGATAATGACTGCTCCTCATTTTTAAAGTCACTTTCAGTTGAGTTTTCTCTCACTTTATGCTAACAGTAACCTAACTTACACATTCAGATTTCTAATCATGTTTGTTTACTTTTAGTTTTATCCAAAATCTTTATTAATTTTGAATTAATTTTATAATAGGATAAAATTAAAAACTATATGGTTTTTCTAAAAATTCTACTTCTACTTAATCAGAAAAATTTCAGCAGAAATTCAGCAAAAGCATAAAATGACAGAGTTTTTATTTCCCCCTTTCTGAAACACAAAGACTTCTATAGCAGAAATTTGCATGTGGCTAACTAACAATTCTATTCATAAGTAGGAAGCATGGCTACTTTGACAGATCGTGGCTCAACAGTTATCACACAGTTTGGATGTGAATTTAACAGCAGAATAATGACAGTTGCTGAGTATTTGTACTTGCTGTTACTTCATACCAGTGTTGCCTGTCAAAATGTCTCTTTTTCTTATACAGAAGCCGTAGAATTTCCATGGATAGCAATTACTTACAATATACAATGGAGCACATCAAATCTAACAACCACTCTTTAGCCCCTTTTTATTTGGTAGTTGCTTTGTTAATTGTAGTTAACCATTTTCATCTAAATTATTTATTTATACTGTATATTTGACAAGCATATATTTCTTGCTTTATATTCCTATGGCATTTAAACCTTCCTGGGATTTTTTATTATTGTCATTTGTAAAATTTATCGTTATTCTATTACCATTTAACTCTAATTGGAGAAAATACAAATAAGACAATGTAAACATAAGGGAAAATGACCCTAAGTACATTCCATAATAAATATCCAGCTTAAAATACTGGAATGCAACAGATAAAAGAAATACCCACACATATGTTTGGTGAATATAAATGTATACAAAATCTCTGGACTAGTCAAAGTGCAAAGATTTCATTAAACTTCATCCCACCCTTTCCCCAACTTGATGAAATGAATAACTTCTAAGATATAACTTTCTACAATTGTTAAATAAAATGTGATTTAAACATCATAGAGAATGAATAACAAAAATGATAATAATGAAAGTGAATAATTCCCCCCAAATCTGATTTAATACCAGAAGAAAATATAATTCTAGTTTGGCCCAGAAAGGTTGGTAAAGGTATCCCAAATGCAGAGCAACTCCTGGTTATTTTATAATGCATGTGTCAAATTTTACTTGCAACTCAATGACTGAATAATAACTAATATGTTATGTTTTAAGTACATATATGTACCCTATAGGAGATATTCAATGTTTGTTAAATTGAACTTGTTTACTTTTGTAAAAGGAAATTCTAAAAAAGAAGAGAAATCTCTAAAATCTGTAAAGGAACCATCTTTGTATAGGATTGGGGCATAAACCATCCCATCCAAAGGAAAGTAAGAAAACTTCTTGTGCAAAAGAGCAAAGGAATCAAAATCAGGTACATCTTAAATCCAAAATTGTGGGAGGTTGTAGATAGTACATATAACTTTTCTGGAAGAAATTTAAATTTTCAAAAATTAAAAAAAACTACTCTTTTAACATATTTTAAAACTTAAAGGAAAAATCTGAAAAAAATTATGAACTGAAGAAAGTGTAATTTGTTGGGCAATAGAGGTCAAAACAGTGAAGTTGTTGCCCTGCTTTATTCACTTTTGCTGTCTCCTCCTCATTCCCTCTTGCTGCCCATTCTATCCATGGTAAAAACTGACATCTTTGGAATGATGAAATTACTACAAACTACCCCTAGAAAAGGTGCTATAACCAAATGTTTTATTTCAAAAAAAAAACCTAAGACTCATTCCAATTAAAAATATCTAAGATAACTAAAATGATATGAAAAAACATATGAATGGATCAGATACTGTTAGTCTCTTTGAAAGCAAAATTTGTGAAAAAGCAACCCAGATAATCTATAACTAAAAACTGTTGGTAATTCACTTTTAAAACTGATTTTTTAAGTCCTCATTTACTGTACTGGAGATAATTTTCCCTCTCAGAGAACTGAAAAAGTGAGTAATACACTCACATGCAAGTAGAATAACAAACTACTGAAAATTTCTATATTAAAAGACACAAAATTATATCCTTAGATGATCAGCTAAAAATCATGCAAACAAAATATTTATATGCAGGATAGAAAGATATTAATTGCTTACAACATTCTCTTAATTTTAAAATGCTATTTTAATTTGGAAAACAACTACTCAGCACTTGGAGATACCTTCTATAAATATGGTAGAACTATCCCTATTGTCAATAAACGATTGATCCTGCCATCCATATCTCAAAGGTTGATGCCCTGTTTCATGTTAACCTGAGAATAATACATCAGACTACAGCTGGGTGGCAAAAGTTTCCTATTGTGCAGCTTTCCTGGACATAGCCACAGGAGTGAGGCTAGACTTTCCAATCATCTGACCTCCTAGTAATAAGTCATAAAAATGGGAGAATTGGACCTTCTTTGGCACAATATGATGAACTCATTTATACTGTTGGTGATTTAGTTTTGTTGCTGAGGGCAGGATCCTGGCACAGCAGTTTTCAGTCTGTTACAAACAAATACAACATGGAGTGACAGAGGATAAACACTGAAAGAACACAAAAAAAGAGAGAAAAGAAGAGTAACATCATCAGATAATAACATGAGCATAAGGTGACTGGTCACAGTATGGTTGTAATGAATGGATCTAACATATGTAGGCATATTTTATAGTGTGTGTAATTAGTGAAGAAGAGTACTATGTCTGTGATATAGGTAAAGGAACAACAGATTGACTATATTTAATAATTATTTCTCATAGAAAGATCACAAAGATTCTGGAAGAAAGGTGGCAAGGAAAACAAGAATGAGATGAGAAGTTTTAACCTCAATCAGGGGAAAAATGTCTTTACTTGCAGAGAAAATTGTCTCTCTCTATAACCATATTAATACCAACAGATCTTAGATTACCACTAGCCTTTATGAACTTGAACCTTTTCAGGCTGAAACTCATCATTTTCTTTGTCATGAAAAAAAAAGACCTCTGGGCATTGTATTTGACTTTCCATTCAACTGCCAAGAAGAGTGTTACTTCATTTTGTAGGTGTCTTGCCAATCTTGCCAATGGGTTTCAGCCCCAAGCAAGTTCGCTATGGATTCAATGTGACCAAAGAAATTGACAGCAAAACGTTCTTGGGTGCAAGGGTTATACCCAACTTTATTTCCAGCTGGCCGGTCAGTCACTAAAATCCCGTTCACTCAGAGCGAGTCTGCATGCAGCAAGCCGGTCTCTGCCTCTGAGCCCCACTGTCTGCAGAGCCGTCCTCTAGGCCCTTCTGCACAGTTGTCCGACACAGCCGTTCTCTGGGCCTCTATCTTCAGTGCTGCCACCACTCCAGGCTCTGCTCTGCCCTCCTGCAGCCTTGCAGCCATGCCACCGTGTCACACCCAGAGTACTGGGTGGAGCTCTTCATATAGAGTCAATAGCAATGTATTACCCACAGGTGTACAGTGAGCTAGTCAACCAGGGCCAGGTGAGAATCCTGGCCACAGGAACTCTCATTTTATCCACAGTAGGTCATCATAATCAAAGTTGATGGTACTAGGCAATAGTGACAGAAAAAAAGTTAGGATTCAGACAAATAAATAGAAGGAACACATTGAAACAAACTATTAAAAACAGACAGGAGGAAAGTGTCACATAAAAGCATAAGAAAAAATAAGAAAAAAAAAGGATGAATAAAGCCAGAGTTAAAGAGATTAGAATCAAAGAAAGAAAATGAGAAAAAAGAGAAAGAAATTCAGTTAATGAAATTACAATTATCTCTAACAGGAAAAAATAAAGGAGAGTTGGAATGATTAGCTGATACAGTACTATTTTGAAAAGGAAAATTGGTAAAAATAGATTCTACAGTCAATAAAAATGTGCAAAGCATATTACTTTTACCATTAGCATCTGTATAAAGGAATACTTGAAAATCTTTTTTAGAATTGTGTTCCATTGTTTTATTGGGAAGAGCACTGTCATGACTAACAAGTCTCTACAATACAAAACTGGGTAATGATTTTCTAAAAAATTGTCAAACCATATAGCTAGTACCCTGTGTAAATGATCTCACACATGGCTAATATGCACTCATAACTCAGAGGAATAAAGCAAAGCAGAGATTAGCTAAAAGTCTAGATTGCACATTCATCTAAACTTGGTGGCACACACAAAAAACAATGAAGCTGTTCTAAGATAAAAAGATGACCTAGCATTTCTATAAGGAGATTAACACAATCCCTAATCTATGAATATTTTCTTCAGTGGTTTTACAGTCTATGTTTTCTATTTAACATAAAAACTATGGTATCACATCTATCCAGCCAAAAGCTTATCAATACCTGACAGAGACATTTTTGTTCTTTTACTTTCTAATAGACAAAAAACACAGGAAAAATACCTCTGTGTCCTCTGCCCTATATTTCAGAGAATCACAGTAGAATAAATAGTTAAGAGTTCCGTCTGTAGAGTGTTAGATCCATTTGGATTCTAACCATTCCTTCTCTGTTTACCAGGTGTGTGATCTTGGTAGAGTTAATTAACCTCTCTAGGTCTTTGTTTCCTCATAAGTAAAATAGAAATGTTTAAAATACAATCTACCTTATATTCACCACAGAGTTGTTTTGAGAACGAAATATATACAATGCAGGTTAAATATTAAGTGTGGTTCTGGCACACAGCAAATATTATCAGCCATGCAATTACTGCTATCATTATGCTATCTAAGTCAAGCTCCAGGGATAATTCATGTTTATTGCATCATCTTTTTTTATTCCCATAAAATACAAAAAATTAAAGGGCTCTACCCCAGGCAACAACCTTCATAGCCTATCACATCTCCAAGTTATTACTGACATCATCTCCACCAAAAAGTGAGCATTTATATAAACAACTTTCTATAAGCACTTTCATTCCCCTCAGAATTCAGTTTAAGTTGCTAAAATAATATTCTTACCTTGGTAAATCACTTGAAATATATTTGTACATTGGCTTTTCCCCACTGAAGGCACCTTCATGGTTGCTTTGCTGTGATACCTCCATGGCTTTAGTCAAGCGCAATAAAGAAGACTGAGAGAGTGCTGCCCTGTGATCCTCTGTTTCTATTTTTGCCATTTGCAGCTAAGAGTAAAGAAGAATATTATTTTATTAAATATGTAAAATCCTCCTGGCTAGAAAGTGAGGCTGGGCACTAATCACAATGTACTCCTCATGAGCTAGACTATACAGCAATTACTAAATGTAAGACCTCATTAGAAATGAACAGAGATGAAATCCTAAAGGAAAACAAAATTATAGATCCAAGTCTTTGATTTGTATAATCTTACTTAAGAAAGAAACAAGTATCATTTGTTGTAAAGAATTTTAGTTCTTGCTGTTTGCTAGAAAATCACTCATTATACAAACTTAACATGAGGAATATGTTATTGAAAAGTGTAATACAATGCTTTTTCTTTCTTCCTTTAAAAAAAAAATCTGTCCTTCATTCACTTGTCTTTGGAACCTACCTTCTTCCTTCCTGATTCTGATGGGACTGTCAATTAGGTGGCCTTGCTTTCCTGACAGGGAAGTGAGTGTGTCCAAGGCTGGCCAGTCAAAGTGCCTTCCCCAGACACAGTGATTGCTAAGTCACGGTCCTGATGAAGAAGACAAAGTAGTGTTCTGTTCTCTGGGATTGCCAGCTTTAAGAAAAAAAAAATGCAAACTCCACCAAGGAGGATGAAGCCAAAACAGGTGAAAGCAAAAGTCAGAGTTGAAGAGAGATTAAAAAATGAGAGATTCCTAATGACAACATTTGAATCCCTGAAACCAATTATTAAAAACAATCACATCTCTTGTGTTTCCTGCATGTGAACCAACAGATTTTTTTTCTTTTTTTTTTTTTGCTTAAGCTAGTTTGAGTTGGGATACTCTGATTTGCAACCTAGAAATCCTGAGTAATGCACACAACCTAAAATTTCTTAAGACCAAGAGACTATACCTATAAGAAATAGTGCCACAGAATGTTATAGGGTCCTTTCCATAGTGTAATCAAGTGTAATCACCCACTCACAATGCTGATAAAAATAGCTAGGAAGTCCCATCACTGATGTCCTACGAGGTTAAGGAGTCCAAGGTAATATGACATAACACTACTAAGGGAAGGATATTATTTGTAAGATAATAAAAAAAATACTATTTTTACCTTTTTACTACTACTGTGAAATAAAAGCATTCATTCATCCACAGATTATTTACTGAGTACCTACACTACACTTGGCATTGTTCTAGGTACTCAGAATTTTTCAGTGAATGAAGCAGAAAAAATTGTGCCCTTGAGAAGCTTACATTCTAGTGAGGGTAAATGATTATAGATCTAAATATTAATTTCTTTAAAAATGTTAAAAGATCTAGAATTGTTTCTTTTTTATTTAAATTTCCTCTGGAAAAGTTGTATATAATATCTACAACCTCCCTCCAATTTTAGATTTAAAATATACCTTATTTTTATTCCTCACCTTAATGAGGTAGAAATGTCTGGTCAAAGACCTGAAAGAGGAAGGGGGTTAGCCATACAACATCCAGGAAACAGTGCAAAGGCCCTAAAGTGGAGTATACCTGGCAAGTGATGGAATAGCAAGAGCAGATAAATAGATGAACAAGTGGGAATATTGCTGGGATGGAGTCAGAAAGACAATGGGGTGGGGTTGACATTGGGCCTTACAGGACACTGTTAGGACTTTGAATGAATTGCAGTATTTGGAGCAGGTGAGTAGTATGATTTTTTTTTTTAAGATAACTTTGGCTGCTTTGTTAAATGCATCAAATGCATCAAAATAACTGCATTTCAGTGTCCTGACTTGTCTAGATATTACTATCTTTTAATACTTGTATAAATTTTTTGTGGCAGAGACTGCCAACTACCTGCCAATATCCATTCTTTCCTTCTACAATTTAGAATCCCTGATTTATAACTGAGGCATACGGATGCCCAAAATAAAGACTATTTTCCAGTCTTCTTTTCAGCTATGTAGGGCCATATGAACAAATCTGGCCAATGAAATACTAGTGGAAATGATCTATGCAAGTGAGTTCACTGCTCTTCTTCCTACTTTCTGCTACCTACAATGAAGACATGAAGGTTGACACTGGACTGGACAGCTTTAACTTTGATACAATACTACGGATGAAAGTCCCACCCCAGGGAAGATAGGAGTCTGAATCTCCGACAACATTGAATACCATAGCAACATTGAACTACCTACCTACCAACTTTCACATGAGAAATAAACCTCTAGCTTGTTCAAAACAATATTAGTTTGGGTCTTTGTTTGCAGTTGAACCTAATCCTGAAACTCCTGATAGTCCTTTAACTAAACTGCTTTCAAGATCCTAAAATGTATGGTATTAGCTTAGAACAGGAAATGAGAAGACTAGGATGGCTTGGATTCTAAATTTAACTGAGAGTCCAGTAATTTGGGGCTTTGGGCCTTGGGCCTTGGGCCTTTTAGATTCACTAAGCTTCCACAATAGATATATACATTCAGAGAATTTGTTCTGTTTTTCTGGAGAATCCTGACTCATACCCATCTTTCAAAGACCATGTCAGCCTGCAAGGCTGAGCTAGAACTGAAGCCATAAAAACTTCCCTGAAATGTGGATTAGTAGAGTCAGACAACAGATATAATGGGATCAGTAATGGTGACGTAGGTCAGAAGAAGCCATGGCAACCACAGCAAGACTAACAGCACCAGCAGCGCCAGCAGGCATACTGACCACCAGCATTCACATTTGGGAGAAGACATTTAGAGAATTTCCTTTTTGCACTACAATTAACTCCTTAAGTTCTTAGATAATCTATAAGGGACAGGAAACTCAAAAAGTATGATACTAGACTTGCTGCTAATTATGTATATGGAAGAAAAAGAACTGCAATAGAACTTCCACTCACAAGCATTTTGGAAAAATATATACCTATAATACATGAAGATCATGTCTTTCTCTGCTAATTTCTAACCACATAGCCTTGAGCATTATAATCTGTCTGAGCTTCAGTTTTCTCATTTTCAAAACAGCAATCCACATGCTTATGATGATTAAATAATAAATGATAAATGTGAAAGACATTTGGCACAGCCAGTGCTTGGCACATGGTGGACATTCATTAAATGTTAGGTGAATCTGAATCTATATCAAGAAAAAAACAGGTATCTCTTTCTACATAGTTTAAAAAAGAGACACTTTCCTTGCCCAGCACTCCTCTGGTATTCCAAATGGAGAACAAAGGGCTGTTGGCCTTCACTCTACCCCTCTGCTTTGAGGTTTCTCACAATAATAGAAGAGCTGAGGATCTTTTCTCAGGCTTCCATAAGAACCAGTGCCTGTTCAATTCTTTCATAGGTTGAGTCCTTCCTAATTGCAGAATACTTATAAGTGAAAAAATTCCAGCTATCTATAGCAAGGCAAAATTATATGATTAGAGAATAAATCACCTTGCAGAATGAAATCCTTTTATTGTCCTGGTGTTTTTATTATATATTCCAATTATTAAAAAATTAAAAATTTGCATCAAATTATTCAAAAATATCTCTTGAAAAATAGCAACAGTTTTTATTTATGCATGATTAGAATCCTAATCTTCACCAGAGGAGGTAATCATTTTAGTGATAGGTAGAGTTTTTCTTCCATGAAAAATAGTTTCAGGATGCATTTAGGTGGAACAAATTATGTAAGTGTGAAATCATTACCACTATTAAGTGCAATATTTCTTTTGTAATGTTACTTCTGTAATAAAACAGTTTCATCCTCACTAAAAGAAAAACATTATTAACAGATTAAATAGAATATGCAGAATATAGTAGGCTTTCAGATAATATTCCTGCACATTACTAATTAAATAAGAACTAATTGTTAATTAGAAATTAAAGAAATAAAAATGTGTTGATTTTAATTTGACACTAAATACTACATTATTTTAGTTGAGTACAGATAAAGGCACTGCCTTATGTTTTATTAACACATGCATAGTTTATTCACTGACACACTGAAAAGCCACTATTTGTCTACTTCTCATCTCTTAATAATTTTACATGAATATGAGTTCTCTAATGCTCACTCCTACATCTCCTCTCCCACCCATTTTTAAAAATGGTATTCGAGTACATTGTGGTTATAAGCCTAGACTCTGACACCAGACAGCATCTGGGTTTACATTTCTGTTACCTGCTTACCAGCTATGACACTTCAGACAAATCACATAACCTCTTTGTGCATCAGATTTTTCATCTGTAAAATGGAGTTAAGAATAGTAGCCACTTTATAAAGTTGACATGCTTGGCACATAGTAGGTACCATGTGTTAGCTATTGAAGAGGAGAGGCTTGATCATTTTCAAGTAGGGGCACTAAGTACCAGTAATAAACAGTACATGAAGACTTTCCAAGGAGCATGCATATGTGGATAGTTTTAAGCAAATCAATGTCCAGATCCTTGCTTTCCACATATATACTTACATAAAGAAAACCTATAAAAGACTTTCAAGCATAAAAGACAAAATCCATAGAAGAAATGGAGTGGAAATATAAGTTTAGGGAGAAAAAGAAAGGATGTAAAATTTCCAACTCTAGATAAACAGCCTGTTACTGTTTTCAATGTTTTTAGATCCCTATAGTATTCAGATCTGAGGCCAGAAATGTACCATGAACATATGGCATCTTGTCATGCCTGAAAACAAGAAAGCTATCAAAGACAAGTGGGCATGTCAAAAAGACATAGGAACCAACTTAGAGAGAATTCTACTGGCCAAAGATGGGACATTCTGAACATTAAAAAAAATGTAAAAGATTGAAACATCAAACTTTTATAAGTTTTTATAAGATTTTTATAATCTATGAGTACCTAATAATACCAAATTAAAATTTGTCATTATCTCATCAAATTTTTTAAATTTTTTTATTAAGGTATTATTGATATACATTCTTATGAATGTTTCACATGAAAAACAATGTGGTTACTACATTCGCCCATATTATCAAGTCCCCACTCATACCCCAATGTAGTCACTGTCCATCAGTGTAGTAAGATGTCCAAGATGCACTATTTGCCTTCTCTGTGCTACACTGTTCACTGTTCCATGACTTATTCTTTCTCCATTTCTAATAAATGAATAAAACTAGTCTGTTCCATTATATATGCCATTTATTCTATTTATCTTGGTATGTTTTATAGGTTATTAACTTGCTTACTATGTATAGTTAGTACATCTTCTGAATTCTGTCATTGTTTTCCAAACTAATTGCTTACTCATATCTATATTTAACACATCCTATGAATTTCACCTGTACTTCATAAGCTATTAGCTTACTATCTGTACTCAACATTTATGATTTTCATTATCTGTTTTCATACCTTGTATAACAGAATTAAATACTCAGACTCATGTTATACGTTTCCTTCTAGTGGGCTGCAAATACAAGAAGCAGACAAAAGCATGGATGTGGAAGAAAGGCACAAGGAGAGACAAGAAGTTATGAGATTGTCATCATCTCACAAAGCTTCAGGTGCAATATATCAAGGTTGCAGGATACAAGGTTAATATACAAAAGTCAGTTGCAAACAAGTGGAATTTTAAATTAAAAACATATTACCATTTACATTAGCATTTAAAAAATTAAATACTAAGATATAAATCTAACAAAATAAGTGCAAGACCTATATAGGAAAACTACAAAAGCCCAGAAATAGACCCACATAAATATGGTCAATTTATCTTTGACAAAGGAACAAAGTCAGTACAATGGCACAAAAACAGTCTTTTCAACATATGGTGCTGAAACAATTGGACATGCACATGCAAAAGAAAAAGAGAGAGAGAGAATTTAGATACAGACCTCATATCCTTTTTTTTTTTTTAGGAAGGAATAAAAAACTGTCTTTATTTGAAAATGACATGGTTGTCTATATAGTAAATGACAAAGAATCTACAAAACAACAACAAAAACAACTCCAGGAACACAGAAGTTAAACTATGTCATGGGTTAAGGTCAATATAAAGTATTCAATTGTATCTTATAAGCCATTGTTAATAATTGTTAATTAACAACGAATCTGAAATTAAAAAGAAAACTACAATAGCATCAAAAAATGAAAAAAAGTTAAGTTATAATTCTGGTAGCTTTGGTATAAGATCTTTATGTAGAAACTAAAAACACTGAGGAAATAAAGTATTTGATTATGTGGAAAGATGAGTCATGTTCATTCATGGAGGATTTGATATTTTTAACATGTCAATTCTCCCTAATTTTATGCCATCCTATTCAAAATGCTAGCAAGCCTTTTTGTAGATCTGAACAACTTGATTTACATTTGAATGTTAAAATATCATTTGATTGCTGGTTTAAATCCTATTTGATTATAATGTATCATCCCTTTATGTTTCTAAACTACCTTTTTCTATATGCTTGAGGTGGACTTAGGTCATTAGTTTTAGACCTTATTTTCAAATATCGGTTTGTAACAATACACCTTTCTTTCAAAGGAACTGTTTTAGCTCCATCCCAGTAACTTTTATGTTTATGTACTTGTATTCAGTTTGTAATATACCCTTTGTGATTTAGTCTTTCACCTATGGATTATAAAGAAATGTGTTATATAATTTCAGTATATTTGCAGTTTTTCTGCATATATCTTAGTTATCAATTTGTGACTTAATTTTGATGTGGTCAAAGATCATGCATTATATGATTTTAATCCTTTTAAATTAAACAAGATTTTTAATGGTCCTTCCAGAATATGACCTGTCTTTTGGGAACTTAACATGTAAAGTAGAAAATAAATATGTACTATTCTCTTTTTGGTTGTGGAACTCTACAAATACAAAATGATCAAGATGGTCAATAATGTGCAGATCTTTTCCAAATATATTGATTATTTCTGTTTAGTTGTTATAAGATGCTTCAGGAGTTGCATTGAAATTTGCTATTTAGACTATAGAGTTCTCTATTTTTCTGCTCAGTTTTAACAATTTTTGCTTAATGTGTTTTGATGCCTTGTTATTAGGTGTTTACACATTTAGAACCTGTTTTCCTGATAAATGGGCTCTTTCATCATCTGGCATGTCCTCTATATTTCTGGCAATAATTGTCTTGAGTCCACTATAATTGGTGTTAAAATAGTCACCTTGACTTTCTCATGCTTATAGTTTACAGGGTGTATTTTTTCAATCTAGTTACTTTAAACTGAGCTGTGTATTATATTTGAAGTACCTTTTAGTAGAAAACCTATAGCTGGATCT